ACAGTAAACAACCGAGTACTGGAACCTTAATAATTCCTCGGTGATGAATGCCAGTTTCTCACACAAGCTACTGGTTAGAATATAAAATTGGGCAACTGCTCTCAACCGACGTTGCCGATCAAAAGCAAAGTTACTTATTGCCTAAGTTAAGAATAAAGAATACATGAAAAGAGAATAAAGTTCGCCTAGCAGCACATTTTTTAATAATCTCAGATCTAGTGAGACTCCGATGCAAATGCGAAAAACTTGCATCAGCGGTGGAGGTTCAATATATCTCTAATTTATCTCAATCTTTAAATAATATTATGCTAGTCTCAGGTTTTATGATTCCTTTCTAATTAAGTTCAGCTTGTTTTTGTTTATTCTAAAGTAGGTGGTGGCCAACCTGTCGAAAGCAGATGCTAGTTTGGCCACCACACACGTTCAATATAGCAATAACTCGGTTCTGTAATTGTAATTAAATCTATAATTGTTACAACTTACATCTGTGAACATCTAATGTAAATAGTGTCAAATAAAATGAACCAATCAACCAAGGAGTCAAAGAAAAAATTGGATAATGCTTTTCGGGGTTCTCTTGCTAATTTCAAAGGAGCGATGAGCTTTCCGCGACGCACCTCTTTAAGATGCTAACAGCCGTAACTGTTGTTAAACTAACGACTACCTAACGAAGCAAGTAAACGTGCTGGACAAAATTACTGAATGGTCGATCCGCTTGATTTGGCGAACCCCTGCACTGTAAAAATTTGGGTCCAGCTAACTGATCGCCAGTTTAGAAATCGAGGCGCTTTCAAATGTTAGAAAGCCGTGTAATTAATACCATCTTAAGAGGTGTGAGCTTCCGTACACCGAAAATTTCCGAGGGCACTACGGTTTATCTCTGCTTTGATGACGTCACCACCTGATCATGGCCCGACGGCTTGCGATTGGAGACTTATACTCTTGGTAGAGGCACCCAGGAAGAGGTCTAAGGGTTTGGGGTAGGACTAACGACCCTCCATTGTAAAAAGCCACATGTTCCCGAGACCATCAAACTGAGGTGACTGCTGTAGAGGCCGATATGAAGCCGTTGCGGTCAAAGCCTACTGGAAGCCCCTAGTCAGGTCGGGTCCATAGCAACCCCAGTAAAAGGTGAGAACGAATAAATAACAGCGCTAGGTTGGAGGCTTCAGGGTCGAAGAGCAGGAGGAACACCAAAGACAACTTGATTTTGCTAATTTTGACACCACATGCATCGTGAACGTAATGTAAAAAACTTAAAATAATGAGAAAATTAACGAATAGAGGAGGACTGTCGAGAAACGGCTGAAGAAGGTAGGCTGGACGAGCAGGAGTATCGCCAGAACAGTAGCACTTTACAGGACGGGTTGGACAGACACCGTGATACCCTTATGCGCCTCTTGGCATGAGGAGCGATGATCATCAATGATGATGATGATGATGATGACTACAGCGCGTATCTATACTAATATTTAGTAACGAAAAAGACAAGGATTGCTTCACTTACCTTATGACTGTCATGTTAGGCCTCCACCAGAAAATGTCGATGCCTGGATCTCGGACCATGACTTTGACCGATGCACAGGTCTAGGATCTGACAGAATAGGTGTCTGGCTTTGGATCAAGGGCAGCCAATATCAGTTCGCTCGTCACATTTCGGTGACAGAAACAGCTGAACTCTGTCGGGACACCAAAAAGGACATGTTAACTAACCAAAGGAAAGAGCCCATCACTCTAAAGCCGCTTTCTCTCTTATCAGGGGTAGTTCATATGTCAGGGTTCGTACTCTTTTAAGCTCTTCAAACTCCCGGGGCGGGGGTACTCCCATACATTACCTATACGGGTATGTGCCGCCCAACGGGGTCGTGATTTTGAAGCTCCTCATTTAGAACGGGGTATCCATTTCAGGGGCGTTTTCTAGAACGGGGTATAATATTTCGAACGCACGAAAGCTCCAGTTTTTTAAGCAGCCATTTGAAATTATTCAAGGACAGATTGCTTTTAAAAATACGGTTCAATGCGTTAACAAGCAAACTGTTGTACTCTTTGCACCTTAGAACGGAGTATAAAAAATTGGCCCATTTCTAGAATGGGGTATCNTCTAAAAAGGGGTTATAGTTTTAGGGGGAATTTTAGAACGGGGGTTTAATTTTAAGGGTAATTTTTTTTTGAACGGGGGGGCAAAGTTGGGGCCCGGGCGGCCCAAACCCACCCAAAAAAACCCCCAGGGCCCCCCCCCCCCCCAGGTTCAAACTCCATGACTTCCCATTACTTTTCCATGACCTCTTCAATTTTCCATGACCTTGGGTTTGGCGCTGGCGCTTTTCAAAACTTTCTTTTTTAGGGTATTGTTTTTTATCTAACTCAGTTTTAATTCTAGTTCTAATCGTATAATCTGCAAAGGGTATATCCCATCACGGCAGTTCAACAGACGCAAACTCTGGTGTCCCTTAAAAATTGCTTTTATCTATTGTACTTTGTCCTTGGCATTTGCGGTAACCAAAATACCAAACATAAATGTAATTTTCCATGACTTTCCAGGACCTAAAATTAAATTCCATGACGTTCCAGGCCTAGAAAATGAAATTCCAAATTTCCATGACTTTCCAAGTTTTCCATGACCTATATGAACGCATATTTTCCTTGACTCCCAATTCTTGGTCATGTTCTGGAAATATCGGAGAAACAAGATCAAGCCGGCCAACCAAGGCTATCCGTGCAGTCATGCGCAAAGGAGGCGTTACTGATACGTAACCCGGCAGCGGCAGTCGCAGTAGCCGTAGAAGCAGGGTTCTATCTAGGGTATTTGAGGGGAAGAAGCTTCCCCTCAAAAATGCTCAGCTTCCCCCCCAAAAAATATTGTCATCAGTACAGTAAACTATATCGGAAAAATCATCCAGATGCGACGAGGTCAGCGTACACAATGTAACATTTCTCAAAATTGTCTCAAAATGCACCAGATTGCATCTTAGCGCACATTCATTTCAAAAATTCCGGGGGGCATACCCCCGGACCCCCCTAGGAAATTCGTCGTCTTCGGACACTCGGGACTTCTCCTCCAGACGATAAATCCCGGATAGAACCCTGAGAAGCTCTCCTTATTCTCTCACCCAATTACCTACCAGAAGAACGAGCCAGAGGGCACCAAAACCTTCCTTTATAGTCTTTTAGGACGTCCGTAACTATCAGCACCACGTGAGGCCAATGAAGAAATTACATTTACCCTGAGAAATAGATAACATGGCATTCATGAGAAAAGTACCTTTGGAGAGGGCGAATAAGAGACTAGAATTCCTTATAAAACGTCTGTGTCAAGGGTGGACCGTAGGAAATGTCGTTTTTTCCATTCAGTTCACGAAATAAAGATCGTTTACCGGCCCCTTTAACATCTTTTAGCTATCCCTCAAGGGGCTGTGGGATGTGTGAGGTTTGTATAATTATGGGATGGTTTAGCCAAGAGCGATTGTTATCTCCATGGAGATTTAAGATACAGAATTTGTCCTAGATTTTTGCGGCTTTCAAGATTGTCATGGTATACGAAAAGAGACGGCAGATTGGTATGTGTTGACTAGAATGACTTAATTGTCGCGTGAATGGTTTCAATGCGTCATTATCTCTTCTTTCAACAACTCGAGAATGTTCGCAGAAACAGTCGCCTAGTTTCTACCTGTATCGCCCACGTACATATATTAGCGTGGCGTACGGCTTATGCAAAAGAAAACATTTGCGTTGGTGCACGTGGAAAGGTCAGAGCTTTTAACAGATAGGATGGGTTCCGAGATTGTCCTCTTCGTGCCTCTTTGTGAATGAACGCGTCAAGTGCATGGGCATTTGACGTTTTTCTAGAAAGTTTGAAGTAAATATATGTGTATTTATCTTCTAACCAACAGCTTATTCCACAATTCGATATATTAACTACAAACAACTCGCAATGCCATGATTTACTCTGAGAAAATTCACTGACTTTAACATGACCATTCAGCTGTGGGCCGCATAAAACCAATTCAAATTCAGTTTATACCAATGCAACATCGCAGTTTCTCAATAGCTAACAAAACTACTTTATGCCAGACACCTGCACATAGGTGCCTCAAACACAATTTAGATGGCATCTATTATTTTGCCTGTTATCTAGAGCCACTCTCAAAGTAGACACTCCAAAGGTTGATCGTCCTGAAGAAGGAAGCCGAGGAACTTGTTGACAGCGAGTCAGGATCCGTGAAAGGTGCAGGCCAGGCTTGAAACTTTTTACCCTTGTGTAGCCTGTTCCAAGAGTTAGTATAGTGAGGATGGCGCAGCACTCCACTTACTGAACGCCTGAAACAGGCTAACCCTTGTGGAACCTTGTGAAACACAAACTAACTTCACTAAACTTCTGCCTACGAGACGGCTTTTATAAACCAACATTTTCTCTCATCCTGTTGGAGACACCAGATACCCAGTTTAAGAAAGTGACGATATCAGTGCCCTGTTCAAGACGGAAAAGTTGAAAACAAACCTCTTCCGCGCTGCACGTCCCAGCTAACCAGAACTTGCCCCAAAAAACAATTAGGAAATCGTCCAAATTGTATGAAAACCAAACTTTCTTGGGCTGCACGTCCCGATTAACCAAACCTGCCCCACAATAGAAATTTGGGAAGACTTCCAAATTTCATTTTTCAAGATAGTACAGTAAATGAAGAGCCACATCTATAAGAAGCATGTTATGAAGGCTTAAAACCGCTGTTAACTGTTCACAAAGACAAAAATAAGAGATAAAAATTACAGTCAGAATAAGGAGCAATTCCACTTCACTACTTGAGTAATCTAGAACTGAGGAAAGCTCAGCCTAGAATGTAATTATTTTGACAGATAGTCACGTCTTGGGGGGCAAAAATAGAATTTCCTGTACCAAGTGCGGTCGTACGAATCGAATAAGTTTTCCTTGACAGGAAAAAGTCATGCAAAGTCTAAAAACAGAAACAAGGGTGGAAACCATCGTGATATAAAGGGGGAAAAGTGCGCTACTGAAAAATAGAATCCTTGACTCAAGTGAATGTGACGCGAGCACCATAAGTTATTTCCCTGAACAACGTCTCTCTTGTGGGTAAGTCTACTTTCAAGTAAGGGATGCCGATTAATCGATGTATTTCTAAGTCATCCATTTTTTTTCTGACAAGGAAAGAAAATTTTGATGATTCAATTCAGGATAACAACATGAAACTTACGAAAATAATCTTTCTTTCACATTTGCCGGCCCAGAGAATTCGTACCACTCTTTTTTGCAAAACATGAAAACACAAAGAAACACAAACATGCTGCTAAACAAACGACAATTTCGCCTGATCCGGCTTTAATTTAACATGTTATTTGCTAGGAGTCACTCTAGGTTTAAAGTCTAAGATCCGCCTTGTACAGTACAATAAACACGTGCTGTTCAGTAGATTTCATTTTAAGCATTAGACCCAGAAGTTGTACAGCATGAGCCAAGACTCATTTTGTAAATGGAGAAAAAAATACCGCGCGAAACTGAGTATTGCTCAGTTGCTTTCTTTAAAAGGTCCCACCACAGCCAGGGTTCCATATACAGACTCGGAAATTGTACAGGCTATCAACAGTATCAGAGGAGAGTACTGCTTAGTAACTCTCATTTCGATGGTCACACCTTAGGATTTCGTCCACAGGTGTAAAAGTTAGAACAACCTTGTACAGCATAATAAACAGTACCACAGGAAAGTACTGCTCAGTAGATTACATTTGAATGGTCACACCATAGGATTTCATCCACAGACTCAAAAGTTAGAACCACCTTGTACAGCATAATAAACAGTACCACAGGAAAGTACTGCTCAGTAGCTTTCATTTAGTTCCATATACAGACTCGGAAATTGTACAGGCTATCAACAGTATCAGAGGAGAGTGCTGCTTAGTAACTCTCATTTCGATGGTCACACCTTAGGATTTCTTTCACAGGTGTAAAAGTTGGAACACTTTGTGCAGCCAATAATAAACAGTACAATAGGAATGAAAGTGCTGCTCAGTAGCTCTCATTTATATCGTCACTTTTTAAGATTTCGTTTAAAGAAGAACCGCCCAGTAAATTTAAATTGAGTGCATGATGATATTTTGCCCAACCATGTATACTTCTTTACGTGGATAAACATCGCAGGAAGCAGATTTTTACGGTGAATTAAGAGATGATGTTGACATGAAAATGTTATATTGTTATTGTTTTGTTTTCCGCATTTGTCTTTTTTTACTGATAAAGATCGTAAGGGAATGGCTACTGAACGCCAAATTCACAGCATGTTATTTTCCTCTTTGATTTACCTTTATCCGGACAGTTTTAGTCAAAACATGTTTTTTTTTGCACCTAAAAGGTCAAATTAAAGGCATTTTGGCATTACGTTTGAATGGTAACCCATGTATTTTTTTGTGCTCCGTCAAATGAAAAGCCAAGAAAGATGGCGAGAGAAGAAGGATTCCCGTCAGTTGCCACTATTGACTAGTACCTATGGGCTACTCATAATGATACACTATAAAGGAATACACCTTTCTTTTATCTGAAATGGAAGCATACACCTTTCATTTGTTCGAACTACTCCATCGCCTTAAATATAAGATGAAATGAGAGTATGTCCAAGAACCAACATTGAAACTGTGGAGGCTACGATTGGACTCGCAGCACGAGCTTGCATAAGGCATGAGGCGATGTTTGTGTTTTGCAACGGCCTATATTAACAATATAAAATATAAGAAGCAAGGCTGCGCTTTTAGTAAACTTTGAAACTCTTGTTTGTTTTGACAAGCTCAGGCAAACTGTGCACGCGATAGCATGTCTTAATTAGTCTAGACCGGAAAAAAACATTTCTTTGTCAGTATACAAGGGTGTCGCCGTTTTAAAAGTCGGAAAGAAAATCTCCTACAATGGCGTCTCCGTCAGAACAACGAAAACTGTCTCCCCTGTTGAAGACATAACACGTTATGAGACAAAAACCACAAAAACATGCAACAAAACTGAACAAGCAAACAACATACTCACGATAAACGGTACGAACGGATAGTATCTTACAGTAGTGTGCAGCCGAGAATGAAAGAGACTTATTCAGTAAAATCTTATTTGTCAAGCCAAGAAGTTGATGAACTGCGATTTCATTATTATTCATGATGCTACTTCGAACCACCATGTCCGAAAGTAACTTGTTGACTCAAATTACACTGATGCCTTTGCATGTTGTTTGTGAAGTACTGTGATCTTTTGCGATAAATTATCAGTTTATATTTGCATCGGCTCCAAGTGTACTTTTTCAAGAAATCATCATTAGGTATACTGTGCCATAATACTCTACCTATTCAATATCGGAAAAAGCTTTTCGTTCGCCCTCCCCCTCCCCCACCCGCAAGAAACAAAAAAACAATGTCTTGGTCGATACTTGCTACCTGTCAAAAGTTATTCTTGCTATTCGTTGCCTGGCAACATGTCTGATACTTCCCTAGTGAGACAGTGAATATGTGTAATAACAGTATTTTGGACGGCCACCTTACAAATCGTTTTGGTGTCATCAGCCTTTTCGCAAAGCTTTGTCGGTCAATTTTATACTCTAAATAACAAGTCTGAAAGAAAGAAAACTGTGACTGAATGGTGCAGACGCATCGACGAACTGTGCCTACACATGTTCTGTTTTCGCAAAACGTTTTCAGTCTTCACGCTAAGAGCACAAAAAAGCGCCCACTAGATGCTTTTGAAATTAGGAAAAGAAGAAAAAGATCAGAAAAAAATGGAAGAATAAGAAAGCATTATGAGGCTTTTTGGTGTGCGTGATTTCAGTTCAAATCATTCATCGAGAGGAAATGGTCTCTCAAGATGATTATCCGCAATTGCACGCTAATGGCATAACCTTTTAAGATGACGCATTGAACATGAGGAATTTTGGGCGTTGTTATCGATAGTTGTTTCGTGATTTCTAGCAAGACAACTCCAAACCACAAGCCCTTACACGTGTGGGTAGTTTCCCTGCTAGGTCAAAGTTTAACATAATATTTTCTCGTATTGCACGCTAGGTTCCACACAACTGAAGAATCAAGCAACAGATGGAAACGCCTCTACCACCTTTTCCAATGAACAGTATTATCTATACTCCAGATAATATGGACTTCTTCCATCGGGATACCGACTATGTGCATGGTACGGTGTTTCTTACATTTCTTGTCTGTATCTGTTGGTCTATAAACTTGCATGTCTAGCCTTCGTGTCGTTTGTAATAACCCCAGGATGACCATTTAATATTCTTTAGATTCTCAAACTGGATAATCTTCTTAGTGATGCTTAAAAAGCTAAGAAGGCTTAAGAAAGCCCAATCCTATTTCGTGTGCTATTGATACGAATGCATTGAAAGACGTTCAAAGCATGCAAATGTACACAAAGTAGTTCTTTCCACTTTACAGGCGACACTTTTTATTCCAAAAAGGGGAAGTTGGGAAGTTCTCACCCATTGTTGAAGAACTGTCCTATCTGTCTAGAATTGTAAGGTTTTTGGAGACACATAAATACCTACAATCCTTTCATTTTTCAAGCTTATTATGGGGTCATGAAACTTATTTTTAACTTCTTGAATCTGAATGGAAACCTACAATATAACCATTCCAGATGAAACATATTCAGTACTACTTTACTTGGTAGTGGGTAACGTTTAGGAATTTACAAAATAATATTAACAATTTTCTTGAATTTTCCCGTGGTTATAACCAAGAGAAAAGGGTTAAATTACTTTTATTAGTGGATCATAATAATAGCAATAACGCTAATCTGCTCACTTCCTGATCGCGTTCGGTTTTTTTTTGGCAGAAAAAAAAATCATAGCTTTATTTTGTGATTATAGCTCCCGCTGGCTGTTTAATATTTATCCTTGACCTGGGGTTTAGGTGGTGCATATTGCTATTTGTTGACCGCCCGTGTTGTAAGAATTCGATAATAAAGCGTATGTCACCATACATGTAGATATAAACGCCACTAATCTTCAAGGCAGGAGTAGATATGACATTTAACGTTCGCTATTATCTCCAGCTTACTTAACATGTCACGAAACAGGGTTATTTAAAGACAAGCTCTCTCCTTGTCGGCTTAGCATTATCCACCGGCTAAGCCACAAATAGGCGTATAATCCTTCATCAAGACGTGATTTCGCTGGTCACTGTGAGCACCACACATTTAGTTGCACGCCAATATCACAAACAGCACATAATCAAACTGTCTTGCACAGAGAAAGGATCTCTTACGAAACGCAATCATGGATTTCGGTTGGCATGGCTATACATACCCTTGCATGGGATGCCCACATTGTCTGGTATCGCGATTTATGGAAGGTAGTAAGAATTCTTTGACATCTTCAGATTTTATTCCTTGAACTTCAAACCGTGTTTAATCGTTTCTGTTCATATAGTGGTCAACAAAAATTCGAAATGTCTTTCATCGGTAAAATTGTATAATATATAGTACTACGCAAATGTTCTGCTAAATAGGTTTTATTTCAATGGTAACACCACAGAATTTCGTCCAAAACTGCAGCAGTATCTCATCCAACCTTAGCACTGGGGTGGAACACTGGTCATTTCATTCAGTTACTAGCCTAATACTGAACGCAGGCTTCCAATACATTTAGTGTACTATAACGAGGAATGAAGTATATCTGTATTTTGTAAAGTAACGCAAAGGTTTGACAAGTAAAAGTTTCGCTGAACGATTTCTCAAAAAACGGAACCACGGTTATCAAACTGAGGTGTTTACGAGATTAGAGTAAACATTATTCGTTATTAAAATTACCATACGCCAATTCTTAAGATTACTGAGAATTTACTGGTACACTGACTGTTAAAACTTGTGCGGACAACTTTTCTTTATGAAGAGTTCTTAGAAGAATCATAGGGTATTTATGTATAATTGAAGTTTTTGAAGAACAAAAACTGTGATACGCTTACTCCTAATGTGTTTCTTATGTCCTGCTTAACTTTTCAGTTCATAGCATGGCACCATCGAACGTTGCATTACAGTGCATCATGGTGGTTTCAGTTCCGTTACTATTTAAGGGAAAGAGGACTATTCTCTTTCCTCTCTTGAGGAGCCTATGACATTTCGTCGGTAGACCCTTTTAATACATCTTAGATTGTATCCAACAGCCTCGTTGCAAGGCGGAAGACCCGAAAACATTCTTGTTTTTCATTGTTCACATTGACAACAATTTATTTTTTTTACTTAACAGCTCCCCCAAGAAAACAGCGACGAGAAAGAACAACTTTCACGAAGGCGCAGCTGAAACTTCTGGACGAGCTGTTCGCCAAAACAAAATATCCTGACATCTTCATGAGAGAGGAAATCGCCCTGAAAATAAATTTGCCAGAAAGTCGAGTACAGGTGAGAACACGGTGTTTGAAGCCCGGGGGGCGGGGGGGGGGGGGCTATTGCCCGCGCCATTGATTTGTTTTGCAAGATAAATTTTGTTTGTACTNGGTGGGGGGGGGGGGGGGGGGGGGGGGGGGGCTATTGCCCGCGCCATTGATTTGTTTTGCAAGATAAATTTTGTTTGTACTCCAAGTATACAAAAGCCTTTAACGTGAATTTGCTCTAATGCCATTGCCAATAAGTGGCTTTAAAACAAGAAGGCGTGCATTTTGTCCTTTGTCCTAAACAGGGTAATACAATTGAGGATGTTGTCCTGAACAGCGTATGTATTTTACGACGTTTTTGTCCTAAACACGGTCAGGGTCTCCAAACCTCACCGGCTTACCTATACCCACATTATGGTCGAGTACCTCCCCCGGGAGCCTTAAGGTCTATTACTGACTCGAACTGACCAAACGCCCTCTGTGATTTGACTACAGCTTTAGCTGATCTGATACCAATCTACTTTGATGAGTTTTAAGCTCGTTACAACTCAAACAGGTACAACCAAAGGGTCGTACAAACTTAAGAAAAATACTTGAAGTAGCAAAGTTCGGACAATTCGACCTCCCTTAATGAGATTTTTTCCAAGCCTTTTTTCACTCATATTCAAGTTACAAAAAGGATTTATTGTCTGCAGATGTAAAATTTGGCAGCCCACTTTATAATTGTTAATGGTTCTCTTTATTTGTCATATCAGTATTACTTGAACTGGTTTTGGGAAAGTTTTATAGGATCAACAAGGGAAGTAGATATCGATATCTTTTCAGGAAATAGGTATTATTTTCCACATTGACGGTATTACTTGAATAGGCAATCACGTAGCAATGAGACAAGAAGCACGTCAAACAGCGTATTAATTCGTTTTATACTTCAACGTAATCAGGAAAAATTTAAGTCATTTTCCGCTCATCAGTTATTTGACACTAAGGAACTTATTTTTAGGCTCTAGATGACAAGTTTCATCCCAGAAAACTATAATGGGGGCACATGTTAATTTCATTCTCACCCGTCGTGACAACTTGCATTTACGAGCGTTTACAGAAATATGTTCCCTTCAGAACAGCTTTTAAAAGCGCCGTTTCTCACATAATATAAGTGGAAATTCAATAGACAAAGAGTTCAAATAAAATGTTTGAAAGCTAAAGGGTGTTTAAAATCGGGTTGAGATGGAGGCTGAAACAATTTGAGAAACATGACATTGTCTGCGGAAAGCATTTCTTATCAAGCAACAAATTTCGCAGTTACCAAAGACAGTTATTTAAGATTCATCGAAAAAGAGCATGGCGTAATGGCATGGGCAGCTGTCATATATATTTTTTTATTTCTATAAATGAAACCACTTTATCATCTGAGTATCTTCTTATGACAAAGCTATCGGCTATGACTGTCAAAATGGTGAAAGCGTCATTCAGTATGGTCAGTGCTAAAAAAAAAGAGTTAATCTCCTTCCGCTGTAGCAGGATCGCCTTAACCTTAAACAGCCGTATTTTTCCGCAAACGCTCTTGCGACAAAGTATAACTGTACAAAAGGAATTCCCTACTTGGAAAAAATAAACAAACAAAAAAAAAAAGAAAAAAGAAAAATACAACACTAAAATACCACCAAATAACAGGAAATCTTTAAGCTAGGATCTCTTGTGTTTACTTTCAATATCTTGAGGTTTGTTTCTCATTTTTCTTGGAGAACAAAACAGTCGACTGGCTCTATCATGATAGACAGACATAACAGGCCTTCGTGACTAGTATTCTATTTATAAAGTACAACCACTGAAATACGCGAAATCTATTAAGCATGTCCCCTGTAGTTTTCTGTAGAAATGTTTATTATCCTGTATAAAGTAGTTTTAATTCCTTGCGGGGCTCGTGAATGAAGACCTGATTTATGACCATTTATACTAAGCTGCTTAGCGGTGCTTTCCTGTTTATTCCTTCTGCTGTTTGTTATTTTGGACAAGGATTAGACTAATATTTTCTCTGAAAGCTTAAGACTGCAAGAGCGCTACACTTAAAAATTTAGATTCTAAAAGAAAGTCGAACCTGCCGACACAAGGGTCTTTGGAACGCCCCTATGTTTGTACTTGGTTGACACACCACAAATCTTACTGAGAGGCGTAGCAAAAAAGAAATTTTTATCAAAACGCTGTTAGCAAACATTCAATTAATTAGCTGCAAATTGACCACAGTTTAACTCGTGCAAAGTCTGTCGCTTATTACAGAATTCCTGATTAGCGATATAATCTAATCGCAAAATGATATGTCTTGACAACTTTGTACGAAACGTTCGACGAGCACGAAAATTCAGATTTGGCTAAAATGAGACTTTCTTTTTTTCTTGTGATTTCAACAAAGTGCGACAACCTGACAAGGAATAAGCATTTCTCTCTTTCTTCTGGAGTAACCAAAACAAAACTTGTACATATAAAAAATATGCTTAAACAGGGTTAGCGTGAGCACCTCATAATGTGTTTATGGTTTTAAGCTATCTCTTAAAATCGCGAGATAGATAAACTCACGCGAAGTTGTTATGCACGACATGAAAACTANCCTATGTTTGTACTTGGTTGACACACCACAAATCTTACTGAGAGGCGTAGCAAAAAAGAAATTTTTATCAAAACGCTGATAGCAAACATTCAATTAATTAGCTGCAAATTGACCACAGTTTAACTCGTGCAAAGTCTGTCGCTTATTACAGAATTCCTGATTAGCGATATAATCTAATCGCAAAATGATATGTCTTGACAACTTTGTACGAAACGTTCGACGAGCACGAAAATTCAGATTTGGCTAAAATGAGAATATCTTTTGTTTCTTGTGATTTCAACAAAGTGCGACAACCTGACAAGGAATAAGCATTTCTCTCTTTCTTCTGGAGTAACCAAAACAAAACTTGTACATATAAAAAATATGCTTAAACAGGGTTAGCGTGAGCACCTCATAATGTGTTTATGGTTTTAAGCTATCTCTTAAAATCGCGAGATAGATAAACTCACGCGAAGTTGTTATGCACGACATGAAAACTACATAAAAATCAAAGTGAAATTAATGTCTTTCAGTCCGGTAAATGGATTTAGGGTGGAACTGCTTGTGAATAGTAATTTTTTTATTTTACTTTGTTTTTTTACTTTTACTATCTTCTACGTCGAGTTGTAACCTTCAAGCCGCAGGTAAAAGACTTAATTTTTCTTATAAACAAACTGGAGCACCTTACGGAATACTACCTATGAGGTTTTCTTAAATAGTAACTTCTGACCGCAGATCCACCATTTTGTACACTTAATCTTGCAAGAGGAAAAACTAAACGAACTGAACAGCTTCTGGGAGGAAAAATGCGCAAAAATTGACATAAAATTTACAAAAAATGTTAAGTTTATTGTAGTGCTTTTGGAGTTTCTCTGTCTAACAAAGTACTGCTGAGAAAATTAGAATAACTAAGGGCCACCTCTCCGATATCTCCAAGTTGATCTCTGTACATTTCCTTACAGAATTAGACAGCGAAATTTAATAAGGATGATGACTATATTGCTTCTCATAACCTCTTCTTTTGATGTTGTATGGTTATTGTTACCAATAAATTGATTTTAGACACTCTCGGCTAAAACCAAATGCCGTGCAACATGATATACTCACAGCACCTTGCTCGCTTTGCCCATTGTTCTTATTTTTACTCTGAACATTGGGCTTTTGTTTTGTATTAATATCCAAGTTTGAGCATTCTTGAACTTAAAAATGTTCCATCCTATGCAACCGCCAAATCGTGTCACATACATGTACAAAATAAGTCGTCACATGGATACCTCGCTACCTCGAGGACAACCTTTTTTTTTTTCGTGTAGTTCATGACTCTGCGAGTAGGCCGATCTTGGCATGGGTTAAGCTTTTCACTCCCAAAGGTGGCCAAAGTCAATTTAGCAAGATTTCAAATAACCATTTTGTAAAATGCTGAAAAACTACTAACAACATCTGAAAGTACTGCCAAAGAGGTTACATTTGCTCAGTGACTTTCATTTGAATGGTCACACCATAGGAATTCATCCACAGACTCAAAAGTTAGAACCACCTTATGCACCATAATAAACGGTACCACAAGAAAATACTGCTCAGTAGCTTTCATTTAAATGGTCACACCATAGGATTTTATTCATAGACTCAAAAGTTAGAACCACCTTGTACACCGTAGTAAACGGTACCACAGAGAAGAAAAGTACTGCTTAGTAGCTTTCATTTGAATGTTCACACCAAGGATTTTCTCCACAGACTCAAAAGTTCAAGCCACCTCATAAACAGTACCACAGAAAATTACTGCTCAGTAGCTTTCATTTATAATCGTTCATGCACATCGTAGCATTTGATTAGAGACTTAAAAGTTGGAGCAACCATACAGGTTTCTATCACTCACTCTCGAAGTGAAGGATTAATTGATCATAATTAGCTTAATTTTCTTCGGGAATTCATTACTAACATGCTACCAGCGAAAAATATATTCCCTTGCACTATCGTGTAGAGGCTTTTCACATGACTTTACGTCCGCCATTAAGGTGTCCTGAAACATTAAATCGGCGGCCATGTTGGTGTCCCAAGCCAATCCTGTGGGAGTAGAACTCATTTCTTACGCTAACGCTTTCTTTTGAGGTAATAAGTATACTAGCTGATGGCCACATGAGTAAAAACGCTCTGTTATAACACCTTTTTATCAAAACTATACACATGTGTACAATTATATTCGTTTTATTCGTTTCAAAGGTATGGTTCAAAAACCGAAGGGCAAAGTTTCGACAACAAAAGAAGCAGCAGCAAGGAGCTCAGAGTAAGCCAAAATCGCCAGTGAAGACAAGAACCCCCACACCACCTCTTCAACAAGTTGAAGATCCACCAAAGGCATCCAGTCAAGCTCCTCCGTTACAACAGTTGAATAACTTCACGTTCAGTGGCCCATCATGGACGAGCAAACACAACATTCATCAAGGATTGCCCAACAACACCCAGAGACACGACAATTATCAGAAGTTTCTCAACAACAGCATGAATGCTTTTCCAGGGGCTCTCTTTCCCGCTTCCCAGCCTCGCTTTAATGCAAGCCACGAACAATATTTTCCTTATATGGGAAACGTTGGTCCAATGCCAGGCTACCTGGCCAGAAATCGACTAGAGTCGTCGCCCATGATGTGTTAAAAAAGACGTGTTAAGAAGAACGTTTGTACAATATTCAATAATTGAATTACAATGCCTGCTAATGCCCTTGGGTCCGGTCAGAAACCGCGAACGGACACGGCCGGACAAATATTTTGTGGATGAAAGATAATTAAGTACATGCATAACAAGGGACATTACAGATACTGAAATGAATGAGGAATATAGACAGTATATTGACTAGGGGCCTGTTTACATGGAGGTGGGGGAACCCAGGTAGGTGAGGTAACCTGCCTGTCCATATAATCTCTCATTTTAATTTGATCACGTTTACATGATAGATGGGGTGAACCTCCACATGTTACCTCATCTATCTGGGGTCCCCCACCTCCATGTAAACAGGCCCTAAACCGTCACTCCTAATTTTTGGCAACGTTTCAGCAAGTATTCGTCATTTATGTTAGGAAAAAAAAGCCTCGTTGTCCAGAGAGTCTAGCGTCTTGTATACCTCAGGTCTCAGGTGGCGCGTTTGCTGTATACAGTCTAATACATGTATTTAACAAGAAAATTACTTTCTCCAATTTCCCGGGAGTAATACTGCTAAGTGTCAAGCGTTTTAACTAAACAATATTTACAGGATCGACAACGGAAAATGTTAGTTTCCAAATCATGTTGGGCGGTTTAAACGCCCATGATATTAGCTGTNTTAACTAAACAATATTTACAGGATCGACAACGGAAAATGTTAGTTTCCAAATCATGTTGGGCGGTTTAAACGCCCATGATATTAGCTGTTATGTTATTAGAATACTATCCCAAATAAAATTCCATTGAAAACATCAATGAAACTCTAAATCATTATACAAGAGGTTTCAAATTCTAAGCGTAATGCTGCGAGCAGCTGGTGGGCAGTAAAATATAATTTTCATTTGAGAAACGATGGACTGACAAACACATTTTGCTAATCAAAATAAAAATTGTAAAAAAATTGGGTCAATAGAGGGGAGAAGTGTGACGTCATGTTACCATGGTAGCAAAATTTCTGGATCACGATAATAGGGAGCTTAAGCAACGACGATTGCCATGGTAACGAGAACGGCATAAAAGTAATAGGTTTATATTAGCAAAACAACAATTTTGTAAGTGTATCAAGCTTTTTTGTAGCCGTAGTTACACGATTGCAACATAAAACTTCCTAATTTCAAGCGCCCGCTTTTTGTCTTTATGGAGTTGGTGAACACAACACCAAAATTTTCTTTTTCTTTATCTAACCTTAGATGCGGTCCTTTCGGATTCAATCCCAGAAAAATAATTTTTCGCCAACGTTTGACAAATTGAATGAAATTGAATAAGATCCATGAAGTTTTAAACAGTGCGAATTCACTTTTTTGGTGACGATTACGGTTTGTTGTCATCCAGAAAGTTTGCTTCCATGGGAACGTGACGTAATGACTTCTCCTCTCTATTGATGGCTGTGGGATAAAGGACTATTGGGGAGTCATCAACCTGCGAGCAAGCTCTCCAGGCCAGGGGGGTCTGGGAGCGGGGTGAGAAAAGGAAGGAGAGCTTGCAACTACATCTGTGGAATTTGAATTCCACCTCCCATTCCCCTGTGGCTCCCCGTCGACTGAGCTGTCAGATTTCCCCCAATCAGCGCGAAGCGGAAACGAACGCGAATGTAAACAAAGATTGAAAAACACGTGCTAAGGGTAATGACGTCATTTCTTATGTCATCTCCGCCAATCAGCATTTCGCATCGCCTTTTTCGATGCAGATATTAAGTATTCCTGAAACGTAGTTGCAAGCTCTCCTTCCTTTTCCCGCCCCGCCGCCAGAGCGCCCCGGAGAGCTTGCTCGTGCGACCTCTTTGTGATTTGCATCTTAATTGGCGGCCAGTTTACAATCATACCAAAATAATTTGAAACTGCTTGTGCGCACTGCACTGTGCGAAACTTGGCGAAATAAGACTGACGCAATAAAAGTGTTACGATTTAAAATTTAGTAGTGATGACATCGCTAGACATATACTTGCTAGCTGTAATGACTAGTAAATAGCGACCGACACCCAAAGAACCACAGGAGACCCAAAGATTACTGTGCTACTCGCCAGGGGGCTCGCATTTATTATTGTCAATTGCAAGCAGCATGAAAAGTAGATTGCGACGACATCTTGTCACCAAACGCCCCTGATTTTATGAATTTCATCTTGGTACAATTAATATTTTGGTGTCGTGGATACCTGTTTTGACTTCTTTGTGACGTTGCAATTTATCACGCAGTGATTTTGTTACCTCTGCGTCCTGCGTCTCTGACGCATAATTTACCCAAAGACGCAAAATAATGCGTCCCGTAGGACGTAAAGAAAGATTTGAAGATTTTTTTGGTAGAATGTCCTGTTCATGTGATTTCTTTTTTCAGTAAACTGCAATAAGGAGTTTGGGCGTCTATCTCCAGATTAACTGTCTGGTTACATAAAAACCCAAGCATTTTCAATTTAGGATTCCTTGTGGTTTTGAACTGGGACTCATTGGTTGTAGACAGGGACCCATAACTATTTGTAACAAAATCGCTGAACATGGCAACATGACATAACATCATGTTCGCATCTTTGCTTTTGATTTTGAATAATTTTAACCCCCTTCCCCCTTCATCAAGGCCACATTTCACCATAGTACAAGTACCACAAGAAGAAAACACAAGGATTCAGGGATTGTCTTTGTGGGCGTTGTGGCATTTCTGGTTACCGGTAGAAATGTTATTTTACTTTCATTGGCTACATCGCCTTAACTAAATCAAGCTTTAGGTCTTAGGTCTCTGAGGACAATTCTAAATTCTAAATAGGTACAGATGGCGTACAATAGTTGCAAGGAGACTGCAAGCAATCTCTTATTTTGCTTTCATGAGAAGTGGCATGCTCATGTCCGAGACATGATAAGCAAGGGCCTCAGCTTGAGAGGAGAATGGGGGGAGGGGTACTTGTCTGAAGTTTTCAAAGACACCTCAAAACATACCGGAACCAGTCTGTGCTAATGTATTTGCACTTACCAATTCCAAAAGTGAGCAAATATTGCAATATGGCGCAGTTAAAGTAATATCTTTCCCTTATGCATTACAGGACTCAAATTTCCTTTAGTTCATGAAAGAAAATTTGACATGAATTTTTTTTTTGTCTACAAAGAAGTGCTGTTGTGTTTAAAGAAAGTTGATCATGTGATCAACTAGTACAAAAGGCCTATAGACACATTCTACACCTTAAAGGGACAACAAGGACCCTGTATTGTTTATAAGGGATCAGCACCCCCTCTGGCGGAGCATCAAGGAGAACCTTAGAATAACTGGCATTTCATTTTAAGTAAAACCACAGGGAACAGAGACATTTCCAGTGTGCAAGTATAGTTAAATAACCCATAGCTGTAGCAAGAGAAATGAATAAATGGCTGGATTGCATTTTCATTTACAGAAATCTATTTATAGCATGAAAAATGTACTGTTCTTTTTTCTCTATTTATCATTATTATTATTATCATTATTATTATTATTATTTTATCCATCTACTAAGATAACAAAGTTGGTTGCAATGGTATTTTGCAGAAAACCAAGATGTTTCTCTCATTCATGATCAATGGGCTTTCATACCCCACCCTCAACCCACGAAGACAAAAAAAATTCCTTTAAAGTGCTAAACAGGTTAGGTGTACCTTATTCTCACTTAATTTTGCGAGTATTAAATTTCGCAAATTTCATGAATTGGGAAAAATCGCAAAATCTAAAAATCCACTAAAAATCCCTATAAATCCCTAAAATTTGCGAAATTAAATACTCACAAAATACGGCTCAGGATTTTTCGCGAATTTTAATACTTGCAAAATTAAGTGAGAATAAGGTAGTATCCACCATTGTGTTCTTTGATGTGGAAAAATAAGCCATTATTTGCAATTTTTCCACCTCAGTGGACACAATAATAACCTAGTGTTGTTC